ACTCTAAGTTGGCAGGTGACCTTCATTGACGCCCGACTATTTAAGCCAGGCCTGCAGCCTTTTAAACAGAGCCCAGATTGTGCGGTCTTGTATAACTGTCTATTGTTCACGAACATAGCTCAGTGCCCTGCTGACTTCTTTTCAATAGGGGCCAGATTAGCAAGCAGCGGTGCTGTGTGGCTCATTGGTGCTGTGTGGCTCATTGGTGCGGTGGTGGAGCATTTTTGTCCCCGGTGGTAATCTGCTCACTCTCAATGCCCCAAACCCTGGAATACCCTTTCAAAACAGGGCTGGATTATCACCACTTTTGAGAGTGAAAAATGTCGGTAATGCCCAGCAGCCTGGTCTTTTGTTCAGAGTATGGTCTTTTGTCACAGGGCCCTGTTCCCTTTGTCCGAGTTCGGAGACCCCGGCCACACATATAAACCATATGTCTCTGATTCCGGAGTCCCCGGCAGGAAGTGATTCATTAAAAATGTTCTTCCAGACTTGTGTATTATCACAATGTTTGCAGTAGCCTGGATTATGGGAGCTTCACAACCTTCTAGCATTTAATACCAACAGACTGAGAAATTGGTCATGTGCATAAAGCAACAACAAAAACTGTAGCAGCATATAAGGGTTTAAGGGTTTGTACAAATTTTAAGATTTATTTCTTTGAAAAAACTTCATTTAAGACAAAAATAAGTTATACAGAACATGGTGTATAGTAGAATACAGGCATGTAGTTCATGATCTGGAACTGCTACATGTTACAATTTCAAACTTTCATCAAAATACAGTAAATTACCGGTAGTATATTCAAATGCCTAAATATTGAATGCTTGTATTATGAGTATGTGCATCTAGGCCCCTGTGTACCAAAAGGCAAAAGGTACATGTATGGCCAATATATACATGTACATGGACACAGATGCACTACCTTATTCTTTTTTTCTTTGAGTGCGAGCATGACATCGAATCTTAAAGCAAAGCTGACACTCAGTAAAGCTAGAACAAAGAGGCTTAAGCCTTTTTAAAATAAGCCTGTTTTGAAATAAATATACTTAACGTGCCAAGACCAAGGCTCCGTCCCATAAAAC